GGGGGGGGGGGGGGGGGGGCATGCAGGCAGGGTGAGGTGGTGGGCCTCGGAGGCCTGACCCCTTAGGCCCAGGGCGTCCTCCCGGGAGGGAATGGGCCTGTGGTCCCAGCTAGTTGGGAGGCTGAGGCAGGAGACTTGCTTGAGCCCAGGAGTTGGAGGTTGCTGTGAGCTGTGATATCATGACACTCTACCCAGGGCGACAGATTGAGGCTCTGTCTCCAAAAAAAATAAATAAAAATAATAATCATTAAATGGTCATAGAATGACATCTGGTCAGCTGTTAACTTGTACAGTTTCTTTTATTTTTATTTTTTTCTAAGAGACAGAGTCTCACTCTATTGCTGAGGCTGATCTATAGTAGTATGATGATAGCTCACTTCAATCTCCAGCTCCTGGGTTCAAGCCATCCTCTTGCTTCAACCAGAACTGCAGTCTTACACCACCATGCCTAGCTAATTTTTTTTTGTATTTTATAGAGATAGAGTTTTGCTATGTTACCCAGGCTGGTCTTGAAATTGGCATAAGTGACCCTCTTGGCTCAGCCTCCTGAGTAGCTGGGATTATGGGTGTGAGCCACCCCACCTGACTACTAACTGGTACAATTGCTTATAACTACCAAAAATTTCAATGTCTAAGCTGAACATGACAGCACACACCTGTAAGACCCAGCTACTCTGGAGACTGAGGCAGGATGATTGCTTGAGCCCAGGAATTTGAGGCCCACTGGGACACATAACAAAACCTGTCTCTTTAAATTAAAAAAAAAAAAAAAAAAACACTTAAGTGTCTAAATGAAAATTCCCTTGACATCGAAATAAAGCAGAAAGATATTGTGAATCAAATTATAGGAATGAAAATGTGTTGATTTGGTGCTCATAGCACATGGTTACGGTGCCAGCCACATGCACCAAGGGTGACGGGTTTGAACCCAGCCTGGGCCCGCCAAACAGCTGCAACCAAAAAATAGCAGGATGTTGTGGCAGGCTACTTGGGAGGCTGAGGCAAGAGAATCTCTTGAGCCCAAGAGGTTGAGGCTGCCATGACCAGTGACGCCATGGCACTCTATCGAGGGTGACATAGTGAGAGTTTAAAAAAAAGAAAATGTGACTTGGCAATTGAGAGGGAAATATATAAAACAGATATGTTGAAAATTATTTTGAGAGCTTGGGAAAGATATAGCACAGACTTAGGAATAGATCATACCTCCCAGTTTGATTTGATTTCCTTTGGGTACCTAGCAAGAGATTTTATATCTTTCTGGCACAGTTTTCAGGCGCCCTAACTCATTATATGCCAGTGAGATTATCTTGATAAACTTGTGGACTTTGTCACCTTTTGATTCCATTTTTACAATCCTTACTTGTGAGTTAACACACTGTTACTTCCTAATTTTGCTTTTTAATTTGTTTTGACCACTTTGGATGAAAGACTTCACATAAAACATCAAAAGATTATTCCATATGCGCAGAAATTCAGAAATGGATATAACAAAAACTTAGTTACTTTATCTTACAGGAATTTTCCTTGGTTACTTTGTTTCAGGCTTTTTCCTCAGGGGGAATCTCCTTTTGATAGGCATTTATGTACAAATAGCCCAAAACAGGATGCATTTTATTTTTAGACAGAAAATTTGTTTTTGAAAAGCTGTATTGGGGGGAAATCTTTGATGTTAATTGTATTTTTCCAATGAACTTACATGAAAAGTTTCTTAAAACAGTGATAAAAGATTAGCTCGAACTGTATCTAAATGATAAAATGATAGTAATGGATATCTTTAATTTATCCTTTTCATTCAATATCTTCTCAAATTTTGTATAATGGGCTCAGCGTCTGTGGCTCAAGCAGCTAAGGTGCCAGCCACATACACTTGAGCTGGCAGGTTTGAATCTAGCCCTGGCCCACCAAACAACAATGACGACTGCAACCAAAAAATAGCTGAGTATTGTGGCAGGCACATGTCCCAGCGACTTGGGAGGCGGAGGCAGGAGAATCACTTGAGCCCAGGAGTCGGAGGTTGCTGTGAGCTGTGATGCCACAGTACTATGTGATTACAGTGAAGTAGTTGAAAAACATCAGGGAATTTTACCACTGCCCTCTTTCTTTCTTCTTTCCAGATATTTTTTAGTCTTTTTCTGTTTTCCTAAAGAAAAAAAAGATTGATTAGTCCTGTAAAAGTCTCCTTTTTTTCTTAAATCTGGGGCCTCCCATTTTTTTAAAGACATTTTTGCTTTGTCATTTGAGTACAGTAAGTGGTGTCATCATAGCTCACAACCTCAAACTCCTGGGCTCAAACAATCCTACCTTCTACGTCAGCCTCCCAAAAAGCCAGGGCTGTAGGCACGTGCCAGCATACTCATTTAGTATATTTTGCCGTGCATGATGTGTTCCCGTGTTTAATGTGCACTCACATTCTTGTTCCAAGCTTTTAAGAAACACCCCTCAAGAAAGTGGCCAGTTCTTGGGGAAGAGACAAGCTCTGGAGACGGCTAAAGCTCCCCTAGTAAATGTGTAGATCATACCACCCTCCTGCAGCCGCTCAACTCTGAAGGCTGTCTCTTCCCTCTCTCCTGGGAGCCCATACCTCCCTGCCTCCTCAAGGGCATGACTGACTATGCATGTGGCCAGCATAGTGGTAGCTTCTGAGGCCCCTTGGCCTGCTGGCAGCCAGGCAAGTCCCCGAGGCCTGAACGGGATTCCCGGTCTCTTCTGCATAGCTGCACCTGGGGCCTTGGCCCTTACCCTGCACAGCCACAGCCCACCTCACCAGCCCTGCCACCGTCCCCTCTACTGATCGAGGTCCTCATTGGAGGCTGCTTCAGCCTGGTCCCACCAGATCGTAGATCTTCCCAGATTGGAACCTTGTGTGCCCAGCGGGCCCATGAGGGAGGGTATGGCAGTCCCCAGAGACCCCACTGGGCTCTCTGCTCCTGAGGTGTACCACCTATGTATAATGTGCACCATTACTTTTCCTTTAAAAATTTGGGCAAAAAAGTATGCATTACATGTGGCAAAATATCACCGTTTTTCTATTTTTGGTAAAGATAGGGTCTCGCTCTTGTTTAAGATGGTCTCAAACTCCTAACCTCAAGCGATCCTTACTTCAGCTTCTCAGAGTGCTAGGATTATAGGTGTGAGCTGTCATACCTGGCCTTCTTCCATCTTTTAACAACTAAAACTGCAAGACTTTGTTTTGTTTTGAGACAGTATCAAGCTGTTGCCCTGGGTAGAAAGCGTGGCATCATAGCTATAGCTCACAGCAACCTCCAACTCTTGCGCTCAGGCGATCATCTTACCTCAATTTTTTTCTATTTTTAGTAGAGATGGGGGGGGGTCTCACTTTTTGCTTAGGCTGGTCTTGAACCATGAGCTCAAGTTATCCACCCACCTTGGCCTCCCAGAGTCTAAGATTATAGGCATGAGCCACTGTACCTGGCCTAACTGTAAGACTTTTTTTCACAGCATAGAGGATGTCTTCCCATTTCAGAGCTTATTCCTTGCTTAATTAGTTATATAATTTGGATTACTAAGTCCTCTTGAACATGACTAAGATACTGAAACTTTGTGAAAGTAAATTTAAATAGCTACTGAAAAATATGTCAAGAGGTGGGAGAAATTCTTCTAATCTTGATATATGGCAGCATGTTATAACAATTGCTTTAAAAACTTGAATATTGGCTCGGCGCCTGTAGATGAAGTGGCTAAGGCGCCAGCCACATACACCAGAGTTGGTGGGTTTGAATCTAGCCTGGGCCTGCCAAACAACAATGACAACTACTACCAAAAAATGGCCAGATGTTGTGGCAGGCGCCTGTAATTCCGGCTACTTGGGAGGCAGAGGCAAGAGAATCGCTTAAGCCCAAGAATTGGAGGTTGCTGTGAGCTGTGATGCCATGGCACTCTACCTAGGGCAACAGCTTGAGGCTCTGTCTAAAAAAAAAAAAAACTCGAATATTGCTTCTTACTATAATTAATCCATCCAACTTTCCTAGCATAGCATTTGAGAGCTGTTCATTCTGGAATATACCAAAACCAGTCTGTCATACCTTATACCAAATTTAAAGGTTCTCCAGGACTCTAATGCGACGTAGGTGAATCAATAAAGAAATTCAGATTATAGCTAATGTAGCATGTAATTTTTTAGTAGATTGATTTAGTTTCTGTAGAAAATTATTCTTTTTAATTATATAATATTCAGATGATTTTTTTCTATTTTCTTTTAACAAGACCTGCCACTGGAGATTTTTTTAAACCCTTTTTCTTACTTGCAGGTCCTCAGTTTGCTGAAGATCCTTCCCAGTTGCCTTCAACCCAGTTACCATCCTCACCTTTTGGAGACTATCGACAATATCAATAGGACATCTCTCCCAGGATTTCTTTAACAAAAATGAGCTATAGTTTGAGAAGGATTTCAGAAGATCAAATTACAATTGGTTTTTAAAAGCATAGATTTTTAAAACTATGGCCAAATAGGCTATGAAGAGACATTTAGCACTTTTTTCTATTTAAAAAGGAACATGGGGTGGGAGTGTTAATAATACACTTATTTATTCACACTTGCATTGCATTTGTGATCAAAGTGTCTCATATCATTAAAAGAAAAGATGGTAAGTGCTCACAAGATGAAGGACCAAAGGGCAAGTAGCAGTGCAGTGTGACCATCAATTCCTGAGGACTTCTCTGCCTGATTTTATGTGTTCTGTTATTCAAACAATAAAAAGCTCCTGGAACTTACTCTTTTTCTTAAAAGATAAGTTGTAGAGTTCTACTTTTCATGCTTGCATACTTCAGGTAATGCATGTTTTATAGTTGGTGCCTCATCTAACTTGAAGTGAATTATATGTCAGAAGAATTACATGGAGTTACCATGGATCATTTTACAGTGGAATCCTTAATGGATTGAAGGATACGGTAAAATGTATAGTCTACTTTGAAAGTAAAATATGCTGTCTTGATTGTGAAGATGTCGGATACAAAACTCTCTTACCTTTAGTGCTGTTGTGTCTTGGTTCCTGATAATCAGAAACAACTTGCTTCCAATATACCTAATTCTATATGAAGACTTCATAGAGGCTACAGTGGTGCTGGGAAAGTCTGATGTTTAATGTGTCCTTGAAAATAAAATATGCACTGGTTTTAATGTGTTCCAAGGCCTCTGAAACTGATACTCATTCAGGGTATATTTTAGGCTTTGTTTGGGGCTGGAAAATGGATTAGCATTTCAGAGGAGGCCATTTTCTTGATTATTTTGGAAGTGACGTGGCCTTATACAAGGCATGGTATCAGTAATTCTCTGTTTGCCTACATCTGTCTGACTTGGAGAACAAATCCATGTGGGTACTATGAACACAACATTTGTCTTTCGGCCCCAAACCATACACAGAGTAAGCATTTAATTACTTGTGATATGATAATTCAGGGTTTATTGTGATAAAATATATGTAAATATTTATTATCGTACAATGCAAACCAATGATGGGGGACAGGGACATATGAAAACAAACTATTCTTCAACTCCTCCTCACCCCCAGTTGGTGTGCAACTGTTAAGAATTTGTAAGTGTACAATTCAGTGGCACTGGAATAGTCACAGTGTTGTATAGCCATCACCATTATGTGTATGCAAGATGTTCTCATCGCTAGTATAAACTCTGTATCCATTAAATAACAACTTCTCATTCTTCACCACCACTTTACTCCCTGGTTCTCTCATACTTTCTGTCAGTAAATTTGCCTATTCTGGGTACCTTATGTAAGTGGAATTTACATAAGTTCTGTTCTGTGTCTGTCTGAATTAACTTAGCACATTTTAAGGTTCATCCATGCTGTGGTGTATATCAAAATTATTTTTTATGGTTGAGTAATCCATTGTGTGTGTGTGTATACACACCATATTTTGTTCATTTCATGTGTGATGGTCACTTGGGTTCTTTCTGTCTTTTGGCTATTAATGAATTATGCTGCTGTGAATATTGGTGTACAAATACTGGTTTGTGTCTTTACTTTTGATTCTTTTGGATATATACCTGGGAGTGGTATTGCTGGGTCTTATGGTAGTTCTATGTTTAACTTTGAGGAACTGCTAAACTGTTTTCCTTGTCAGCTGCAATAATTTATATTCCCAGCAGCACATGAGGGTTCTAATTTATCCATGTCCTTGCCAACATCTGTTATTTTCCTTTTTTTCCTTTTATATTATAGCCATCTGAGTAGATATGAAGGGGAATTTCAGTGTGGTTGTGATTTGCCTTTCCCCAGTGACTAATGATATTGAACTTTCATGTGCTTGTTGGCCATATGTATATTTTATTTGGAGATATGTTTTTAAGTCTATGGCTCTCCAACTTTCCATCATAAGTACAAGGAGTTGTATGTTAGAAGAGCAATTCAAATGGAAAACATGTTGAATTGTCAAGGAAATTCTTCACATTTCTTAAAATATCCTAAATTTAGCTGGGCACCCAAAGCACAGTGGTTAGGGCACTAGCCACGTGCTCTGGGGCTGATCTGGGCCTGCTAAACAAACAAACAAGAAAAAAATAGCCAGGCATTGTGGCAGGCATCTACAATTCCCACTATTAGGCAGGCTGAGGCAAGAGAATCGCTTGAGCCCCAGAGTTTGAGGTTGCTATGAGCTGTGACGCCACAGCACTCTACTGAAAGCAACAAAGTGAGACTGTCTCAACAAAAAAAAAAAAAGAAAAGA